ATTAGGACTCCAGCAGTGATAAAAGCTGTGAAGGCGCGATAGGATGGCGAGGTGGCCATAGGATGGCGAGGTGGCCATTTTATTGCTATTAGTCTGTTAACGGCGAAGTGGCTGCTTAGATACTATGGAATTAATTTAGAATGTAGCGTGGAATCTATTAGGATTCAGATCGGAATACGAAACAGAAATGGAGTTATTGCATAAAGGATCAAATGTAAGGATCCTGTAATGTCCTGGGTCAGGAGTGGCCGAGACGTACAAAAATAGTTTCTTTTTTTTGCAGATATCGATGATGCACGGCCTTCAACATCACACGAGGACGTGTGATATGTCAGGACGGCCGTGTCAGAGGAAGCAATGAGTCGAGTTGATTCTTGTTTACATGCTTAATGTTTATTATTATTAGTTTTACGTTGTAATTACTTTTATAATTCCTAACTTTATTTTATCTTGTTTGTTACGTTTTTCTATAACTTTAAAACCTTTCATAAAAATAAACTGTAATAAAAGGTCCCATAACTGTAAATCACGTAGGCAGCGACCAATCAGAGCAGAGCGTCTTGTCTCGAGCGTGGTCGAGGCGCCATCTTCACTTTGGAGAAAGCTTGTATTGTGGTGTGACGCATTTTGTATTTTGTGAGCATAAAAACGTATCGAGTTGGATCGTTGGATAATTTGGATATAGTTAAAGTGAGATTGGTGCACCGAACTCGCTGCTCGGTCTAAACTGTTGTATTCCTACAATATTACCGTGGAATAACAAAATATTGTATAAACTGAATTAAACTACTGATAAAACGGCATCCATTGTGTTTTGTGCTCGCACTTTAACCCCATGACGCCCACTAAGCCCGCAGCCACTAATGGCGATGTCGACGAGGAGAGCCTTTCCCCGACATATATATTAATACGTGAAGCAAAAACTTTGTACCCCTTTTTACGAAAATTTCGCAGACGGAGGAGTATGAAATTTCCCACACTTATAGAGAATATAGAGAAGGAGTGCAGGATGTTAGTATATTTTTTTAATTATGCATAAAAATACATTAAATTAATAAAAAATAATATTACACACACTACCATGTATTTGACACACACACGCATGCATACTATTTGTTTATTGTCAAACTTTTCTTATTGTTTAAAGTCTGTAGTCAAATTGAGAATAGATTTAAATATTGTTTGTCTTTATTAATATTATTATTTGTCTAAAGTTTAGTCTTGGCGAAGCATGTGTTTAGAAGTATTTTATTTGATTATAGTCTTTGACAATAGAATCATAAAAATGTTCAAACTTATAATTTCAATTAATTATAGTCGAATTTCGACTACTGCGAGACCACTTAGTATAATTTAATTATACTAAAAGATATAACCAGAAAAACAAAAACAAAAAACAAAACAACATTGCATTTATCCGTTCTCAAATCTCATTCCACGATACTCTTCAAACGTTAACGAAACGTGAAAGTGAAATTAAATCCAATTCCAACAACAGACGAGAGAGAGAGAGAGATAAGCTCGCGATTGACACAACGGAGAAATGTTGTAATTGAACTTTGCAGTATAATAAGCACGTGCCACAAGCACAAGCAAAATCCCGGCCAGAGTAATCTATATATATATGACGGCACACGCATGCATACTATTTATTTATTGTCAAACTTTTGTTCTTGACGTCGGTTGTCAAATTGAGAATAGATTAAATATTGTTTGTCTTTATTAATATTTTTCTATAGTGTAGTCTTGGCGAAATTTGTGATTAAAGAAGTATAATAGTCTGAGAATAGAATCACAATAGTGTACAAACTTAAAATTTCAATTAATTATAGTCGAATTTCGACTATCGGGCGACCACTAGTTTATATTATTAAATAAGATACATTGTTGGATACATCGCATTAATATTTTTGAACGTAATTGTGAGCGCATCGATATAGTCCCGCCCCTTTCCCCTCTTATATCAATGTCATTATAAAGTCGAGTTTGAATCGTGCGCATCATAATTGTGCGATCGCGAAAAATAGTAGTGAATATTGAGTGCAGCTAATTAGTTACTGAAAAAACTGAAAGTGTCCATCAAGATAAAAACAAGGAAGACAGGAGTGGCCACTCCAGGAAGATAGTGCTACAAAATATGATTATAACTACAAAATCACAGACCTTCGGTGAGTTCCTAACAAATTACCAAGTATCTTATCGATTGCGCTCGAAATCTAAAAAACTAAAGAACCAAATCCAACCATACATATTATATATAAGATAATATATATGCAAGAAAACTAACTATTTTAACACTACCGATTAGAACCTGGCGCAGTCCAGTCGACATATCCATCAGTAAATACTTAATTATATTGTTGTCTTCCATCAGCCATTCTTCATGTAGCCAGTTCAATTGACCTATATAAATACTACCAGATTTCAAAGATCTTAAATCTTAGTACTAAACGTAAACAAATCCTTTAAAAAAAATCGTCATTCGCCATTGCCGAAATTAATTTAACTCAAATTCATCATTTATTTCAACTTAGATGTCAGTATGACACACTTGTTAACTCTCAGACACAGCCCACTGAGTTTCTCGCCGGATCTTCTCAGTGGGTCGCGTTTCCGATCCGGTGGTAGATTCTGCGAAGCACGGCTCTTGCTAGGGTTCGTGTTAGCAACATCGTCAGGTTTGAGCCCCGTGAGCTCACCTACTAAAGTTAGTTTAACGCTGACATAGCCGCTAGGGCTATCAGCTTAGGTAGGAAAAAAAAAAAAAAAACACTTGTTGAATGTCAAAATATAAATAACAATGTTAACTCTACCACCGATTCCAAAAAAGGCCACAGTCCTGAGATGAACCGGCGAAACAAACACAGCGGTCTTTTTGTTTTTCTCAAACATTTTTTTTTTTTAAATAATTAAAAATATTTACAATAAAGGAAAAAACAAGTCAAAAAATACAATTAAAATTCTCATCACATCTCATTTCCTCATCTTGCATCCTCTCATTTAAACTTCACACTGTCGTTGATAGCTTGAAAGCGATAATCGTAACGTAAGTAGGTACAAAATATAAATAACAATCCGTAGTTTAACAACCCTAGACCGTAGTAAAGCTCCAATTTAATCTGTCGAATAACAATTTTATGTTGGTTTTATGTCACGAATTTGTCTCATTCTAGAAACTTCAGCCAACGGTAGTGATGTGACATAATAACTACTATTCGAAAAATTCGTATTTATAGTTTAGATATAGTTTAGATTTCAAGTTGAATCGAGGCAAGCCGTGATAATCCAATAGTGCATTTGTCTTTTTTTTCTCTTTACCAGTGCCGTGGTTGGCTTTTATCAATATTTCATAAAGAAGTTGCGCTGGACTTGGCAGTTACTTCTTCTTCTTCCAGTGCCTCTTCAATCCTGAAGGTTGGCCGTTAGCTTTCTGTATTCCTTTCTGTCAGCAGCCAGTCGGAACAGCTGTTCGACGGAGGCAATACCGGTCCACTCCCGGATATTCCGGAGCCATGACTCTTTTCTTCGCCCAGCACGTCTCTTTCCGTCCACTTTGCCCATAATTATCAGCTGCAGCAGCATGTATCGATCGTTCCTGAGCACGTGGCAGTTACAACTTTTTTTTTTATTGCCCTTGTAGGCAGACGAGCATACGGCCCACCTGATGGTGAGTGGTTACCGTCGCTCATGGACTTCAGCAATGCCAGGAGCAGAGTCAAGCCGCTGCCTACCGCTTAATACTCTCCACAAGCCTCGTTTGAAGAAGGACATGTCATAGCGCTCGGGAAGCACCGTGGTGGGGAGCTCATTCCATAGCCGGATGGTACGTGACAAGAAACTGCACCTTAGTTACCTGACCGCAAGTGCGCATGTCATGGCGTAGAGCTTTACAATATTTTCATTGTTCACACAATGTACAACAGCGTTTAAGATAACTTGTAAAGACAAGATTCTAAGCAATACTTTCTGAACTAGATTTGTGCTCACACAGCATTTGTGGACTTGGCAGCAATCCCGAAACCTCGTGTAATTAAATTAGTCGCTAAAAAGTTTTTCACTTCCGGGCCAAGAAACTTTCGGCGTGAAAGGGCGGGGCGTTGGGGGGGGGGGGGGGCACAATGGCAGCCCCTCCGATATCCGCTTACTACATACAGCATTGATGTAATCGCACAGCTATAAAACAGTCGACGACAATGGCAAGGCAAGAGAGTAAAAGAAATAGTTTACGCAGAGCCTTTTGTATAGAATCGATTTTATCGTCACACGAGGAGGGTCTATGGAAGAGGCACGCAAACCGGAGACTGACGTTGGGTCGTACCGTACCTGCATAAAGGTCGTGCGCTTAAGGAATTAGAAATAGCTAGTCAATAAAAAACTCAGCATTCATTAGACTTTTTTTATTATTGCTTAGATAGATGGACGAGCTCACGAGGTTTTTTTTTTTTTTGCTTAGATTTGTGGACGAGCTCGCAGCCCACCTGGTGTTAAGTGGTTACTGGAGCCCATAGACATCTACAGCGTAAATGCACCACACACCTTGAGATATAAGTTCTAAGATCTCAGTATAGTTACAACGGCTGCCCCACCCTTCAAACCGAAACGCATTATTGCTTTACGGCAGAAATAGGCAGGGCGGTGGTACCTACCCGTGCGGACTCACAAGAGGTCCTACCACCAGTAATTACGCAAATTATATTTTTGCGGGTTTGATTTTTATTACACGATGTAATTCCTTCACCAACTGTGGAAGTCAGTCATGAACATTTGTTAAGCACGTATTTCATTACAAAAATTTGTACCCGCCTGCGGGATTCGAACACAGTTGCATCGCTATATACGAATGCACCCGACGTCTTATACTTTAGTTACTTATACTTTTTATTATTACCGCGTAACAAGTAAACGTCCCGAAGGATCTTCTTGCTTTCGAAGCTAATACAAGAGAACGGAATAAACGATACTCCCAGACACAGCCCACTGAGTTTCTCGCCGGATCTTCTCAGTGGGTCGCGTTTCCGATCCGGTGGTAGATTCTGCGAAGCACGGCTCTTGCTAGGGTTCGTGTTAGCAACGTCGTCAGGTTTGAGCCCCGTGAGCTCACCTACAAACGTTAGGGTTACGCTGAAATAGCCCCTAAGGCTATCAGCTTAAGTAGGAAAAAAAAAGAAGGAATAAACGAAATGAACAACAATCTAAGAAACGAAACGATTTAAAGATAATGGAAGAGACATTCCGAGTAATTGAAAACGTTAGCGAAACGGATTCCTGAGCCGAGCAAATAAATAACTAAGCCATCCGGTATACAGTACAAGATACTATTTCAGTGCCTCTGATGGAAAAAGTGTCCGGGTATAAGGCTATCTACATTTTTTTCCGGATAACTTAATGAAAACAAAAACTTTTTACTCCTAAATGAATTATTTCATTATTTATTTATTTATTTACTAGCGACCCGCCCTCACTTCGCTTCGGAAACTGTAATTTATTATTGATTTCTCCACTATTTAATGGATGTTATTATACATATAAACCTTCCTCTTCAATCACTATATCTATTAGTCGCCTGTTTTTCATTGGTTTTTTTTTTGTTATTGCTTAGGTGTGTGGACAAGCTCATGGCCCACCTGGTGTTAAGTGGTTACCGGAACTCATAGACATTTACAACACAAATGCCGCCATCCACCTTGAGATGTGAGTTCATGTTTTAACATTACATGAAAATTTCATTAAATTTTACTACTATGTTACAAGTCTCTCAGTTTTAAGTAAGCAGTATTTACAAGAACCATGTCACAGAGTTTAA